CGAGTTTATTAAACTCCACCGAGACAGCGGTGACGCTAATCAGAAGGCTAGACCGTCCAATTCCAAGGCTGTTTACTTCCGGCCTACCCAACCTTCTGAGGACCCGGCCCACGTAGACCACGAAGGCCGGGTCCTCAGGAGGATGCAGCACATGAATTTGGACACGACCCATGTTTACATCTGACATGCTGCAGTTTTGACACAGAGAAGGAGATCAAACACAAGACATCCAGGAGGAATAAACATGGGAATAGAAAAATAGAAAAAGATGTAAAGTTAATAGAAAAAAATGTGCGTGTGCGTGCGTGTGCGTGTGTGTGTGTGTGCGTACGTGTGTGCGTGTGTGTGTCCTCACAGTGGACAGACTGAGTGAACTCCTTCTGGGCTTCAGCATGGACACCCGTCTCTTGTGCCATCACAGCCACATGGAGGTGGTAGACTGTAGTAAGTCAGCGTTTCAGTCTCTCATTCATCATCATCTTAAATTTGACTGAATTAATTATGAATATATACATTAAGAAAAACAGTAACAGCCTATAATGTGCCACTATCAGGCATCAGTTAGGTATTAGTAAGTGCTTAGGTCATCATTTGGAACAATACTCCTATTTAGTACGTAATGTATGAATAAATGTTCATTCTTGATTAATAAGCTCATAATGTGTTCATGGTAACATTTGGACGCCCATTCCTCTTTAAAATGATTAAGATGATTAAGATATGAGCTCATTGTTTGTGAGGTTAATAGAGGTTTTGTAAATGCTGATTTCATAGTGTAATTCATGGTTAATTAAGACTATTACTATTTGTTAATTAAGAATTTTCTGTGACCTCTGAAGTGAAGGCTATTTACGTCTCAGCTATTTTCCCAACAGAGACATGACGCAGACAACACAGAAAGACGTGCAGAACATACAGATGCAAACATAACACACCTGAGGTTTGCACAATACTGAATGCAGGTTTGTAGGCGGGGTTTAAGAGGAAGATGCACCAAGGAGGTGGAGCCACAGGACAGCTCAAGATTTCTTCATTTAACATAAAACATGAATGTTGTTTTTACAAAACAATAATAAATCTTTCACAGAGCTTCACAAATACAATATGAAGAAAGGGTCCATCATATTAAACTGGTAATGCAGGAAAATGTCTCTGGAATGTTTGAGACTTTGGAACTTCTTTAGATCGTTCCCGAGGTTAAGCTTTCGTCTGGTTTGTGGTCTGTCAGCTTTAGTCCAGCTGAATCAGACTAAATAGTGGTTTCACACAGGTGAACAGCTTAAATGAGAGAAGTAAGGACTCCATCTCCTCCTCATTCAGTGAGAACTCAGAGCAGCTCCGTGGGGCGAGGAGGAGATCAGGTTAAGAGGTGGTTCTCCACCATGAAGGAGGATCCCAAATCAATGAGCGTTATCATGGAGCCATGATAGCATGTTGCTGCACTCAGTCAGTAAATACTGCTATTTAATGTCCACATAAAAATGAATTCTCAAAAAGGTGCATGGATTCATGGGGAAAGTAGGGGAGGGGCTGGTAGCAGTGAGGGATGTGATGAAAATGAACTGCTGTCAGTGTGATGTGCAGCAGGTCTTCATGCTGCTTACTGGACAGTATAATTACAACGACAAAGGAAAGAAAATATGTGGACACATGTGCACTGGGCCACCATCCAAATACTCGCTGTGCCAGATTACCCGTCCAGGCCTGCTGGTAACTGCGTGGATTAACCATGAATTATAATCTGAAGTATTAAGAAAACCTTTAAAACACTTATTTACACTAAATATACCATGGACGCCTTATGAATGAGATATAAACACTTATATCCACATTTATAAATTACATACTAATGAAGAGTAATACTTTATAAATGATGAATTAAGCACTTACTAATGCTTAATAGTGTGACATCATTATAAAGTGATACCAGAAAACTAAACAACTTAGATGTGCAGAGAATTACATAAAAAAGCTTTTTTCTTTTTAAATAAAGGTTAAATTGCACATGTCGCTCCAAGACAAGTACTGAGTGTTTTGTCTCTTCTCAGGTGACCAAGAGCTGTTGGTCAATGGAGCCCAGCATTTTATTGCAGCAAAGGTGAGGACAAAGAGTTGATGATGGGGGTTTGGAGGTGCAGTTATGGACCTGAACATGGTCTCAGATTTGGTTTGTGGTGCATATAGTAAAGTTAAC